GATGGAGGGGGGGAGATGGAGGGGGAGTGAGGGCTGAAGGGCAATTTGAGGTGAGGGGTAGATGTGGAGGTGATAACTGGTGGATTGGGGTGAGGGGGATGATGGGGAATCGGGGTGAGGGGGGATATGTAGGGATATGTGATGATGAGGGGCTGAAGGGGCATTGGGAGACAAGGGGGAGAAGTAGGGCCAATGACAGCTGGATGGTAGTGAAGGTGAGGTGGGGGAATGTGGGGACAATGATCGGTATATGGGAGGGATGTGGGGTGAGCAGAAATGTAGGGGGATTGGAAGGTGAAGGGTGGTGTAAGGGGTGATGAGAGGTGAATGGGGGATGAGGGGAGGAAACGGGGCAACAAGCCCCACTGCCCACATGGGTGAGGGGTGTGAGCACTTGTGTCACTGTGGTCATGTTGGCATGCCAGGACTGTCAGCGTGACTGTGCATATCAGTGTGTACATCGCTACTGGGTGGAGCGTGTGTGTGAGAGAGTGAGTCTGTGTCTGTGCACAAGCGTGCATGGCAGTGACACCCAGGAAGCTGTGCGTGCACGTCAGCATCAAAAGCATAACCATGCCTGTGAGCCCCACCACTGCACAGGGCAGTTAGGGAGTGAAACGGGGGGACCCTGTCACACCTCTGCTGCTGTGCATGCCCATAGTGGCTGGGGATGGTGAGAACATGTGTGTCACACACCCAGCCTGGGTTGGGCACACACAACTGCCCACTGACCTGGGGGCAGGGGGTGTGTGCATGCGCCAGCCATAGGCCCCCCAGCTCTGTCCTTTCAAAGTGCTCCACCGAGTCACATCCAGCAACAGGGCCAGGCACTGAGCAAGGTCAGAGCACAAACACATAGGGCAGCAACCTGTGTTTTCATTGCCTGTAACATCAGAGGGTGCCCACATGGCTACATTCCTCCCCAAAATTACCCTGTACCATGCAAAGCACAGCCCTTCACCATCTGTGGTCCCAGTCCCATGTCTCCCTGGAGAAAGGGGTGAGCAGGGACTGTCCTCCTTCAGCCAAAACCCAGAGAAATCAGACTCAGGGCTAAGTCGAAAGGAGACCCTTTTCAAATACTTGCTCAGTCAAGAGGGAAATGGAGACACTGTTTCAGGTCAAAACAAACCATCACCACTGTACAAAGCAAATTGCCTTTTAATATGTAACCAAATGCAGGGGGTGAGTTTCAGGACATCTTTTTCTCCTCAGCATCATCCATCTGCCAACAGCAATACAAAGAAATCACAAAGCATAAAATGAGACACTGCCACAAAAATAGACATTATATGCACATACACAATGTATAGAGATAAGACACAAGTTACAGAGCACCAGGGGTCTGTCTCAGCCCCAACCAGTGGAGCCTGGTGGGGTACCCCCTCCCCAAGACACACCTCTTGCAGGACCAGGAGCCCTTGGCACCCCCTGGCTAGGGCCATGCACTGTTTCACATCGTCTTACAGGTGCCAGGACAAGAAAGGCTGGTGAGCAGAATCCATCCTGATGCTTTTTGGGTCCCCTGATTTGTAAGGCTCCGTATCATGGCCAGTCAGCTCTTTGCCCCATCCTAGATGCTCCTCCAGGCCACTTCAGAGGGGTCCGGCCCATTTCCAGACTGCAGCCAGGAGTTCGACCCTTCCCGAGCCCCATCTTGCCCTGTGAGCAGCCCCAGGAGCACTGGCACAGCAAGGCACGATGGAAGAGACCCAGGGAGATGAGGCCATCCCACACCAGGACACTTGCAGGCTTGCTGCTGGCCTAGCCCTGCACTACTTGCCTGATTTTAATTGCTTGGTAAACAGTACATGCTTAATACTGGTGTGCGAGGCAAACATGATGCTCAGGGTGATAGTGCAAGGGGAGAAGATGTGGAGGTCCCCAACATCTCTGACCAAGATGTCTTGCCACATCTGGTCTTGAATCAAATCCTCCCCCCCGCCCCCCCCCACCATTGCTTTTTCTATCAGTTTCGCCTGATGGATCTGGGACAATTTGCCCCGTGGTGGGAAAAAAATAAATTCACTACTTCAGTTAAAAAATACAAAAGAAAGGGAAATCAACAAAGTGGTTTTGCTAGTCTCTGGGAGTTTAAAGGGCACAAAGTTAGTCCAAAGTGAAGAGGCAGATCGCAGTGCCTGCATCCCTTCCCTCTTTTTCTTACTGCTTGGGCAAAACCACACCATCCTGAGCAACTGCAGGAGTAAACACCATTGTTCTTCTGTCTGATGGCACTGCTGAGCACAGGAGAGGAAGGCAAGGAGAAGCAAGTGACAAACCCAAAGGGAGCTAGGCTGGACCACACTGTTGTAAGGGAAGGTCACAGCCTAGTACCCGCTTCTCCCAAATCCCCTGGGAAAGCTGCTGAGGAGCCCAAATTCCCAAGCTGCCTCTGCTCTCACCACCTCCCACAGAGGTGTTCAAATGCTGCTGAGCTTCTCAAAGTGCTTGGTAACATCCCCTTTTCTGAAGGAACTGGGTCACTGGGGGCTCAGGAGGAAGAAAGGAGATGGTGAACAAAGGAGGGAGTATCCTGTGATTCTGTGAGGGAGGGAGCAAGAAGCAGAGCAGAGTGCCTCAGGCAGGCTGAGATGATGCAGGGGACCAAACAGCAACGTGGCAAGGGTGGTCCACACACACTGGCAATGAGGATACCGTGCTGCATCAAGAAATATCAATTCAGTGCTGCAGTGCTTGTAAGGTCAGCAGGTATGTCTGCAAGAGGTTGCCAGGAATGCATGGACTGGCAAGCAGGGGGTCCTTTCCTTGACCCCAAGAGTCTCGCTGCTGGCAGGGCTGCATCTCCGTGAAAGACTTCTCATGGAAAAAATACAAAACACTTCATCTTCGGCTGCCTGAAAGCTCTGCTAGGGCACCTCATTTCAGGCACTGGAAGACAAAATCCTGAGCGATCAGGAAGCATGGGGGACCACTTGCAGGTGTGCCCAGCCAGAAGAGCTTGTAATCGCTGGAGGGTTTTAAATATATGGCTCCTAGTTCACAGTGAGGCTTCAAAACAGGCTGCCCACAATCAATTCTGTGCCAGCACCCCCTCTTGCTCCACCCATGCAAGCCAGTATACCCCTCAGGTCCTGCAGCCCTCACACCTCACCTTGAGCCGGACCTCGCAGGCACAGAGCTGCTGCCTGCCCACAAAAGATGCTGATGGGAAGCCAGCGCCCCACTCAGAGGAGGAGGGCGCTCCTGCAACCACCTTTGCAGGGAGAGCTGCTGAGCACTTCAAAACTGAGCCCTGTGAGGAATGTGATGCTCTAGGGTGGCTCTCACTAGGGCAAGGCAAAGTGCCCAGCTGTGGGGGAAGGGATATTTCAGAGCCGTCCCTAAGCAAGGCAGTCTCATGTCCAGAAAGGTTATTTCTGTACTGGCACTCAGGCAGCAACACATGGTCCATCTCATGGGTGCTGGATCCCAACAGGAGTCCACTGTGTTGCACCAGACCTGTCCCACCAAGTCTCCAAGGAGCTGCCCCATCCTGCAGGTGCCACGGCTGGCGCTGCATGAAGCACTTGTCCTGCTCCCCTTCCCAAGAAAAGCTCGGCTCCAGGGGGAGTATGGGGGGCTGTTTGGAGGAGCCACTATCCCCTGGAAGCTGCCTGACTCCTGAGGGTGCTGATATTCGTGCAGGGGGAGCAACCTCCTCATCATGGAGGTCCCCAGCTCCAGAGAACACAGACTTATGCAAGCCCCGTGCAGGACAAGGGCCAGGTTGGGACGGCAGGAACCATAGCCCTGCCCCTGGGGGACTCTCAGGGCTGCCAGCCAGCAGAGTTTGTGACTCCAGGTGTGTTCCTGCTGCTTCCAGCTCTTTTGGAGCTCTGGCCAGCCAAGCCTCTGATGGGCAACTTCCAGAAGTACTCTGACCCAAAGGATTGGCTGGGTTTGCCTGGACTGGGACATTGTGCCACCGAGACACCAGTGCATTTGAGTACAATGGAGGTAGGCAGCTTAAGCTCACCAGCTCACACCCAGGCTGGCACTGATCATCTGGAATAGTGTTATCTACAGGAGCAGTGGTGGTAACTTCTGTTTGAAGCAATTGTCTCAGGTTTGCCAGCTGAAGTGCTACAGAGTGCTTGTTGCTGGAGCCTGGGACATCCAGAACAGTCCCCCCCACCAGCCCAGCTGGGTTAAACAGGACCTGCTGTTCTGGTTGAACAGAGGTGACCTCAGATGTAATAGAGACTAGAGAGACCACAGCATCGTGGCCATGTGCACCAGGTGCCTGGGACTGTGGTGGAGCTTGAAGCACTGAATTTGTTGCCCCACAGTGCTGGAAGTGAGCCGCAGCACCATTCTCCTCATTGTGGGGTGATGCACTGCAGTGTGGGAAGTCCATGCTCTTCCCAGCATCCTCCCTGAGGAGCATTTGCTCCACATAAGAGGTCACCTCGGTGCCTAGCCTCTTGCCAATCTCCTGAGCTGGCGGGTCCTCTGCACCCAAGCTGAGCAGAGACTCCTCCCACTGCTGCAGCTCTGCATTGTCCACGCTGAGGCTCTGGCAGATGTTTCCATCCACCTTGCTCTTCTCAAAGAGGGTTTCAATAACGACCAGGAGGGAGTCACTGTCCTGCTTGGCATCACCGGCTTCCTCATTTTGGCTTGGTCCATCAGGTTCAGTGGTGAGATTTGGCAAGCAGAACTGAGGCATGTTATCAGAGTGTGAGATATATACGGATGCATCTTGCTTCATCATGGCCCCAAGAAGAGAGTTGGGGTCTACTGAGCACTGCTTTGAGTGGGAATTTGCTTGTGTTTGCAACTCCTCCTTAGCCTGGAAGGAGTCCAGGAACTCAGGAAGGCCATTCCCATACAAGACTGCTTCCCCTGTGGCAAAGCTAAAAGGCAGCTGCAGGTTTCTCTTCTGCAGATGTTCTTCCCCTTCTTCATTCCTTCAGGGAGGAGGGAAAAAGAGATGGAAACAGCATGAGCACCTCCTCTGGGCAAGGCAAAACCACCCTCCCAACAGTGAGACAGGAGCTCACAGAAAGCCCTGGCTTTTCTGAGGAAAAAGGTGCTGGATTGTCCTGGCTATGATGCTGCTGGTGGAAGACTGGGGATCTGGGGCGCATGGGGGGAAGTCTGCATGGTTCAGGGAAGGACTGCATGTCCAGGGCTCACCCCAGGCAGGAGTGAGCGTGTCTGCAACACCTTCTCAGAGCTGTTTTGCTCATGCTCCCCTTCTACAGGAGGGCACAAGCTGCAAAGTTCTGACCATGCAACGCAACCACCATTTCCTCCGCATGCCCCAAGCAGCCCCACAGCCACACATGCCAAGAGCAGGCAAATGCAGCTGGAGACCCAGGGATACTCACGACAGGGCTTGCTGCTGGGCAATGATGCAGTCGGGCTTGCCCCCTTTGTACACCAGCCGGGCATTGGCCTGTACCCACACCCAGCTGCCCTTCTTGGTCAGCAGCCGGAAAACCGTTAGCCCGCTCTCCCCTGTCTTCATCACTGGGGCAGGGAGAGAAGAGAGATGGCACCAAGATTGTCACTCCATGGGGGCAGACAAATGACACAGGCAAGATGCCACGATGTTGAGCATCACCTTGTACCCATGCTATGGAGGCAGAAGAGGCAGAACGCCGCCAGCACACAATGCCACATACCATCTTGTCCCCCTGCCAGCTCCCCAAGCAGATATCACCCAGGAGGGGAAAGCCTTTATCACAGCTGCTCCAGGCCCAGACAAGGAGGAACAGTACTGGTATGACCAGAGCTGCACTGGTGCCAGGGAGCTGCAAGGGCCCCCGTGAATGCACCCGCCCCGCTGCCCCCCCAGTACTCACTTCTTACGTGGTTCTCTGCACAGTACATCATGTCGGCTGCATGTACAAACTGGTACCCGGAACCCCTCCTGCACAGCTCCGTTTCTGTGTACCCCAGGACAACTTTCCCCCTGGAAACAGTGCAGAAACCCACTGGAGGATATAGGGATACCCCATTTGCACCCCACCAGCCAGACGTGATCCCGTGCCCAGCATCCAGGCAGCTAGCCAGAGCCTCCCACTTCGAGTGGTGCAACTCTCCATCCTGGGTAGAGCTGCATCCCCTCTTCCACAAAACCCCCTACTGGGTTTCTGTGCTAAAACATGGGAGCCAAGAAGTGCTGATGCCCAGTTAATCTGCCACCCATGTTAATGGGGGGCTGCAGAAATGCCCAGCAGTGGGTGGACAAAAGCATCAGACATCTTGTCACAGCAATTGGGTCAGAAGTGCCCTGCTCCCATGGGCTGTGGCTTTCTGTCCAGAGCCTGCAGCCATGCATTTTGCCACAGGGAAGGCAGGAGATGCCCTACCAGGAATCACACGCCATGGGAGTGAAATCTAGCTTGTGCTTTGTCTGGAAGATCAGCGTCTTGGTCCGAAGCTCCAGGATGGAGAGCGGCTGGAGGGGAGTTGCAACAGCAAAGAGGGCAAGCGGGGACTTGTTCAATGCCTTCTTCTGCTGCCCAAGAAGGAATTTCAAGCGCCCACAGAAATTCAAGGCCTTAGAGGGGATTAGAAAATGTGCATGTGAAAATAGGGTGATAGCAACTGGCTGTGCTCCCGCCCCTATGGGACGTGAGCAGCCCCTAGGTGACACACTGCGGGGTAAAGGGGTGTCCTGGTGCAGGGCTGTTACCAGAAATCCCGAGGAGTTATCCAGCAAGCAGCGGAAGCGGCAGGTGAAGCTCCTCTCCATGAAAGAGGGCTTCTCAGGACAGAGGTGCTGGGGGCTGGATGCTATGCTGCATCCAGCCAGCAGCGGCTGGGGGGCAGGAAGGGCTGGGAAACCAAAGGGAAAATGAAGCTTTCCAAGCTGTGCACCTCAAGCTCATGGTCTTGCACACCTGCTCCTGGTGGAGACTGCTGCTCAAGTGAACCCACGGCCTTCACAAGACAGGCAAGACCCATTACCCAATTACCCATGGGAAATTACCAGTTCATGATAGTGTCTGGTTCCCTTGCCTCTCAGACAGGAGCAAGACAACAAGCTGCCCCACTGAAATAAAGAGGATTTCAAACACTGAAAAGCAAAAAGGTTTGGAGGAAGTGTTCCCATCCCTCCAGCACAGAGAAAGGCAGCATGTCATTGCTGTTAGCTGCTTTTTGTGACAGGTGGCTGTGACAACCCCTGGGATGGTTGTGAGTCCCAGGGGAAGGCTATGGGATGCTCCTCAGCACAGTGCTGTGCTTGCTGGCTATAAATGCCACCAGAAGGGTTGTCCAACACTGGGTGGCCATGCAGAGGTGGCTGGCTGGTCCCCAGGGATCAGTGCTGGGGACCACCCTGGCACTCACCATTGGCAGCATGCTGGGTGCTACCAGATGCCGGGGCTCCACGCAGCTGGCATCTGAAGGTGCCTCTGTCATCTGCGTGGATCAGCTCGTATACACTCTGGTATATGAGATCTGACTGGAATGACACAAGGGGAGAAGAGCATTGACTCCTGCCCCAGCCTGGCAGAGGTGTCAGGAGGAAGACATGGCAGCAGGCTTTCCTTTGTGGGTACTAAAAGTACAGTGACTGAGCATAAACAACAGGAAAAACCAAACAGCTTTGTGTGCAGGATGGAGAGCAAGGACCAGGAACTGGCTGCTTTTAGGAAGGGCAGCTAAGGAAGGAGGGAAAGGGAGCAGAGAACAGATATCCCTAGGGAGCAGCTCAGAGGTTTCTAGAAGCAATAGAAATAACAGCAATAGAAATAACTCTGGCTGCTCAGGACTCTCAACACCACCCATTTACCCACTGTCCCCTGGTGACAGCTAAGCAGAGCTTTCCATCCCGTCCCCTACACTGTCAAGGCTGAGGTTCTCTTGGTGTCACCTGGCCCTTCCAAGGATGTTTCCCACTGGCTCTGGCTCCTGATCCTTAACTGCAATTCACAGGAAATGCTGAAACTCCAGCACTCTCTGCCACAGGAGCCTGTGCTCTTTGGGAAGCTTTGTTCCCCATCTGTGGGGTGAATAGTACAGCAGTGGCATTTGCCTGGCATGTCTTAACTTCCAGTATCTTCTCAGGACCAAATTCAGACAAAGTGCCAGAAAGGCTGTGGGTCGTCAGAGCAGAATTTGTTTGTGGGGTACAAATTGCTGCTCTGCATCAGCATGCAAGATCTCTCTTGTGTTGCCATCCCTAGCCCTGTGCAAATAAGCAGTTTTGTTTCTTCCCCAGGATCAATGTAAAAAATAATTTCAGGTTGATCAAGACATTTTGACCAAACCAAACTAATATTTTTATTAATATTACTAATTTACTAATATTTTTATTTATCCCCCAGACTTATGCAGAGGGATTTGCATTTTAAAAAAGGGGTTTATAGGGTTGTTTTTTGTTGGTTTTTTTTACTTCAAATCCATGGGAATCTGCATCCCAGTGCAAACTATCTGCCTTCAGTGGGCCACCAGGAAAATGACATGCTGATGCTGGACTGTAAGGTTGGCCACACAGCAAACACACCATCAAGTCCTCACACCACCTGTGTCCCAACACAGTCCCCTTCTTCTAGGGCCCCGTCCTGGACCAACATTTCCTATCCTGGTCCTGCATGCCGTGGGGGTCAGCATGAATCTGCCAAGCCCATGGGCAGCTCAGGCCACCAACTGCTATGTCCCTGCCCTCAGAAACATGCCAGAGCAGAGCTTCCTGCTTAACCAGACATACAGGTACTTTGAGAAGAGCGCTCCCTGTCTCTGACAGCTGTTTTGACTTGGGGCATCAGCCCATGAGGATCTTTCTACAGTGAGCTGGGAAAGGGTGAGAAGAGGACAAAGAAGAAAACACATCAGCCTCTGCAGGAGCACCAGAAACCCAGTGAACAAAAAGGGTTTGGCAGCCTCACAGCTCTCCCGTTGACTCAGTCCTTCAACCAAAGGAGCTGGACGTCAGGGGACTTGCAGGTAACAGGATGGATGTGGGGAGAGATCTCCTTTTCCTTGGCATCCCATGTAACCCACGGTACTTCAGGGCACTGACACTGCTCGCCAGCAAGATACCTTCAACCCTCTGTAAGTGAGAGCCTGTGTGCCCAGCAGCATGACACAAGAAAAATCTCACACCCCTATTACACATGAAGACAAGAGGATACAGAGCCTGCCATTACTCATCTCACAGCTGTTTTTACTAAAGTCACAAGCACGCTTGTTGTCTTTCACAGCCCCCAAAGAACATGACTCATTTGAAAACATACATCAAAACCAACCCAAGGGAGCTGGGAGAAGAAAGCCCTGGCACCTCCTTCCCAGGCCTGGACTGCACCCACCTGCTTACAGCCAGGAAAAAGTGGTACCCACCTGATGAAAGCCCAGGTAGTCCTGCACAGTACGGGAGATGTAGAAGATGTAGCCATCTCCGGTCACAGCAATGATAAATCCATTGAGTGCCTGAAAGCATAAGTTGAGCCCAGAGTTACTCTGCCTAGCTTCAATCCAGCTGTTGAAAGATGAACTCCAGATGTTCCTTCAGCATTCAGGGATGGGAAGGGACCTTCTTTCTCAACAAAGAATCCACAAAAAAGGAAAGCACCTTGTGACCACGTGAGGCTTTTAACACTGGTTAGCTGTGAAGGGGTTCCTCATTGTTACCATAAGTGATAATCAAACGTGGACTGACAATTTTTTCTAGACCCATCATAGAAGTCCTCTCACCACAGGGCATCTCCTGCATCAGGAGGGAGCAACAGAGGAGAGGTTTCTGGAGCACCTGGAGTTAGTTACCTCCTCTCCACCTGTACCAGCTGAGTATAGCTATGGTATTTAGGGCTCTTCTGCTAGCAGACCTGATTTCCTCTAACAAACCTGCCTACAACTTCGACAAGCAGCAACAGGCAGTGCAGAGGCAAGTGCCTTGAGCCATGAAGGAGCCTGGTGACTCCAAGAGTTCAGTTCAAGCATAATGAAGCCCTCAGAGATGGTAACCAAACTGCAGTCAGTCACTGACCTGACATATTTATCTACTTTTTCATTTTAAGGATGACGTCCAAAGACACTTTAGTCCCTGCTCTTCACCCTAAGTTCTACAGTTAGGGCGTTATAGAAGCTTATTTCTGCATTTCTTTATGTCTTCTCCCCAGAATTTCTCCAATCATCCCCCAAAACCCACTTTTTAATCCTTAGCACCTGAGGACTACAGGGACATCACTGTTCCTCAGACTCCTGCTCTCAGTTCCAAAGGTATGTGAACAACTCATCACAAAGTACATAATGTAAGACCAAACTCAGCTACTGCTGTCATTCAAAGATGGGAATGCAGCTAAAACCAACACTCACCTCAAAAGCAAAAGATGTGGAAAAATCTGGAAACTTAGATCCCAGATTTGTGAAGGCCCTGACATCATACCTGTGACACCTGATGTGATACCCCCTGGTGCTTATAAGCATGCAGACTATTTGACACATCTTCAAGGAGGCGACAGTGTCCTGTTCTCCTCTGTTTCCCATTACACAGGACTGCAACTTCTTCTCATGTGGTTTTGTTCTTGCTCCTGACAAGCATTTCAAGAGGCCTCATTGCTTGAGATGTTTGTCAGGAACAAACCCCATTGCCCCTCAAATACATCCTGGCATTGTACTACCACTATGAGACACCACACTGGGAAAATTACTCTCCTCTTGCTGATGTTCTAGATGACAGAAGATAAGGCTTTAAACAGAAAAACCTCAAATCTCCATTAAAAAAATAAATATATATCTTTGTGCTCATACCATCTGCCAACTTCACTTCTCACCTTGCAGCTAAATACATACCCAACTAGTAGCTCCTTGCCTGAAAAGACCAAACCCACGCCAAATTAAAGAAACTGTTCAAAAAATATGAGAGATCATAGCTAGGATAGCAAGAAAGGAGCTCGGGCATCAAGCAAATAGCCAGAAAAAGAGGTAAGATGAAGATCCAGGAAAGTACTGCACTAGACAGTAATTCCTGCCCCCTGCTCTTCTCTGTAATAGATTTAATTATTAGTAAATAAAAAGAGAGAAACTAGGAAAAGAAAACCCTAAGTGAAAATCTGGCTTTAACCAATATGTGGGCAGAAGTCTCAGTAGGTCTCATAAGCATCAGGACAGGATCTGCCACAAATATGGACTCTGCCAGTGAGCTGCCCTGCTCGGCAACTCTGAGCTGCCCCTAGGGGGAAACATGAAGACATGCCTTTTGCTTGAGACCAGGCTGGAGAGAAGGGTCTGGCCACACATGCTGCTCCCTTGGCTCCAGTCACCCTCCCTCCCCTCATGCAAAGAGGAGGCAGCAGCAATCTGCTGACATAGCTCATGCATTTCCCCATTTACAGCAACACTCTGAGGCTCGTGTGGACTGGCTTTTTTTAGTAACTTGGACTATTTGAAAGGCCTCTGGACTAAGCATGTTGCCTGATACTGTACAGATCCAACTTGCAGCGGGACCGGTCCCTTTCCTTTGTGCACTGCAGCCCCCTGTGGGGCCCTGCGTCAGTTTTCTACAAATTACAGTATCTGATTAAAATGCTCTTTGCCGGGGGGGTGGAACCACCATCCGGCAGCTCAGCTGGGGGATTTCTGTCACATTAACACCTCATAAGCTCTCCAGATGCCTTCAATCACCTGAGATTGCCAATACTTTGGTGGCTCAGCAAATTGCTGTCATATGGTTCAGCTCAAACCCCTGGAGATCACTCAGGAGTAGCTCCATCATGGGACTGGGGCAACCTCTAGCTCCCTCCTGGCTATTGCTTTATTCCAGCTATTTCTCCATGACTATCACACTTGCAGCCAGCTGAGACTGCTCCTGGGAGTGAAGCCCACATGGGAGACTTCATGTGGTCCAAGTTTCATTGCCAGTAGTCACGCTGGGCTCCCAGGAGTCATAGCCTCAGCAATATCCCCCATGGGGGCTCTTTCTGGGGCTCTGCTTGCACCCACCTGCCTGTCCGTAACAGTGGGCATTCATGTAAGGCTGTGCAGGAGCAGGGTTAAAGGGTCAGACTTTAAGGAGAGCCAAGCATCCATCTGGTAGTGTTTGGAGAGGTGGAAGAAGGAAGAAGAGGACTCAAGGCCCAGAAAGCACATGCAATGTCAGGAACACAATCACGGAAAGATTAAAGGTCTTGCACTGACTTGCCCTGAAGCCCGAAGGAGCAGCACATTTTAAGCTGACATGCCCAGATGTTTATTCAGGAACCAGCCTTTCCACAGGCCCTTTCTATCCCATTTCCTTCCAGCTTACATTTATAAATTGCAGCCCAAACAAACAGCATTCTGGCCAGCTGATTCACCAGCTCCTTGTTCTCTGACATTCATCGAGAGCTATTTCATTAGGTGCATTAGTGGAGTTACGCAGTACAGCGACCCGTTCCAAGTCCCGTCTGGACAACAGGCCGGGTTGGATGGGGCTTTGAGCAATCTGGTTTAGTGGAAGGTGTCCCTGACCATGGCAAAGGGGTTGGAACTAGATGATGTCTAAGGTCTCTTCCAACCCTAACCATTCTATGATTTAATTTTGGTACTGCCATTTGTAAATGTATATCTATACATATAGCCTTACTACAAAGCAAAGCTCCCACCACCTACTGATTTTGTCTACCACTGTCTTCCAAGATCCATCTTCCCTTCTTTTACCCCCCACAATCTACAAACTGAACCTGGACTTTTTCCATCCCAGGCAGGCCGTGAACTCATCCTAGCGAATTCATGCAATGCCCCAGGTAGGGCAAACAGTTCCAGGCGGATGTTTTATCCTGCAGCTATCACCATTCTCCTCTTAGCAGTTACTACAATACAAAGAATCCATCACCTCAGGGTCTAATTAGTGATCGTTCCTTACACTGCTGTATGATACCCCTGCAACTCTTGGTTAAGATGGATGAGTTTGTGCATGTTGGGTCCATGAGCTGTAGCGGGTCCCAAGGAAAAATGCCAGTTTTGGGCTCAGTGACAGCTAACACCTGCAAGTTATAGGCACAGACATCACCTTTGTGAGAAGGACACAACCCACCACCTCAAACCCTGCTCTGTTCATGGATGCAGTTGATGGTACGGCCCCTACAGAGCTGCTGCAGCATAACCAAATGGGCAGCAAACTGCATCACAGGGTGGGAGGGAACAGTGGGGCCAGGGACCCATCCCAGCCAGGCACTGTCACCAGTCCCTGTCCCAAGGTGCTCAGTGCCTGCAAAGCACCTCATGGCAGAGCAGGGTCTCCTCTTGCTCCATAGATGGGACCACGTGCCCATATCTACTGTAGAGATCAGCAGACAGGGACCAGCTGTCATGCACAGTGGATGGTAGGAGCCAAGGGAAGACCCCAAATGACTGAGGTACGGCACGATACCTGGAGCAGCAGTTCCCCCTCAGGAAAGAGCTCCTTGTCAACCTGCGGGTCCGTCTGTCCATTCCCTCCCAGTGCTCTGGGCTGATCCAGCACGCAGTTGCCAACATCTGTAGCTGCAGCTGTAAGTAAGAGGGTAAGAAATCAGCATGGAAGGGGCAAACCAGGAGCCTCTCCCTCCTCCCCACCCCAGTGCTGCTCATGCATGGCTGTATCATGCTACCCAATGCACGTGGGTCCAGCTCAGAGGAAGATGAGACTAGCGGGAACTGGAGCAGAGACCCTTTACAGAGCCATCTCCAATTTCCCAATGCTTCCTCCAAGAGATAATAGCCTCTGCTTGGTCCTATTTCTGGGAAACCTCACTTGGGTCAAGGTCTGAGTCAGAGATGCAAAGGAGGGGAGGTGAGCGTTTCTGGACCATGCAACACAGCAAGAAATCTTCAGGCTTGGGCCTAGTAGAGTTGGAGTTGGCTTCAAGCTGCCCCAGTGCCACAATATATGCCTTCCTGTCCTTCAGGGCTGACAAAATACAGTGGCAAACCTTCCCAAACCATCAAAGCACCCATATTTTTTCTCCCTTCCACCTTTGGCTGCTTGGAAGCAGATCAGAGGGTTGGTGGCCACAGCACTCCCAGCGAGCAGCTCTTGGCTCCCAAGACTCACTGCAATGACCTCCCCAGGCTGATTCACATGCTGCCTCATGCTTCCTCACTAGATGCCTTCAAGGCAACATCTGTGGGTGCTGCCAACCTGAAACTTCCTGCCCTGGTCACAGGACCTTGAGCATCACAGGACACAGAAAACTGGTTGTTCAGAAACAGGAATGAGGACAGCAGCTCTAGTGCAGTACTTCATCTGCTGGGGAATTACCCTTGAAAAACTCAGTCCAAACTCAGCTTCCAACAAATGGGCAGTTTTCAAGGCAGGGTTTTTGCCAACTTGACCAAAAACTCACAGGAAAACCTCGAAGCAGCCTGTGTAGGAAGCGCCCCAGGTCTGCCGCCGCTGCAAGCTCCTGCGGCAGCCCAAGGTCAGGTAAGGCTCACACACCCTGTACACAGCCACATCCTGGCAAAGCATGGCTGCCTGCCCCATCTGAGCTCTGAGTTTCTGATGGCACTGCATTACCTTGACTGGATCCAAAGGGAAAAAGTCTTCCTAATTTGAGGGAAAGGTAGGAAATGAGAAAAAAATGCCAAACCATCCCAAGTCTGACTGCACATTTAAATTTCTCCATGGCAGAAGCTCTCGCTTCACCATAAAAAGGTTTTAACGGTTTGGGTTTGGTTTTTTTTTCCCCCAGTAGCACTGAGTTTGAAGCCAAAATAATTCCAAACCTAAAAAAAATTTCATCTGAAACTGCTGATATGAGACATTTTGCTTTTCATCAAACCATCAACATACAAAAGCATTTTCCCAGACAGATTTGTGTATTTGTATTTAAAAATAGTTTGAGGTCAAAACATCACTCAGATCTATTTAAATGTGGAGCCTGAGTGACAACAAGCACCCGCCCATTCAGGCTTTCAGTAACCAGGCACACGGTTAAAGATAATTAGCTGAAGGTCTTGCATAAGGTGACACAGAGAAGCCACACTGTTGCAGTCACGCAGGTTTAAATAAAAGTGGAGGAGATGTTCTGAGCCTATTAAGTGGAATTAGCCTTGATCTCTGTTGCTGATAGGACTGGGCTACTTCAGCCTCCCCCAAACCTGGAGTGCTTCTTGGAGATGCTCAGGCAGCAGTTGTATCTTCTGCCCTGTCCATCCTGCACCCTCCCTCGCTGGAGGAAAGCCCAGCTTGTAGGTAACTGGCAACTCCCACAGGACATGCCTCCCCCTCCCCAATAGCTCCCCTGTGGGTCAGTTTAGCCCATGCCACAAATCCACATTGCCCCCTGCGTCCCCATTTCTGCAAAGGACCACCTTCTGCATAGACACTTCCCAAATCAGCAAGAGGGGGATCAGCCCGGCTAGGGGATACAAGACCTCTGGAAAAGGTTGTGGAAGATGAGGTTCAATGCCAGAAAAGCAATCACTGTGCTCAGTTTGCTCATCAGTCAAGGAAATGCATGTCCCCAGGAGTTTCAAAAGGCAGGTTTGAGGCAGTCACCAAGAAAAAAGCCTCCTCGTATGATTGCCAAGTCATTCCCAAGGAAAAACATCCAAAGCCCATCTGGACCATGGGTATGGATTCAATTTGCACATGATGGAGCAGAATACTTTCAAAATGGAACATTGTTTCTTTTTTTAAATTTGAATTCTTTTGAAGGGCTGACTCCTCTCTAAAGCATTGAAGCAAGCTGGCAAGAAAATTCAAAAAGAAACCAAGTTCTTCCCAAAGGGCAGAGAGCATTTTGAGAGGATGCACAACCCAAAAGCACATGGTCTCCAGCTCTCTCCTAGTGTCCACCAGCAGCATCTGCAGGGAGAACTGCAAAGAGCTGGGGAGACCTGCTGTGGGCTTACAGAATCCAACATGAAACACCTATTTGCTCATTTTGTGCTTTCCAGCAAAATTATTTCTTCCAGTTCTCCCACCAATCTTAGCAAGGGACTTTTAATCTCCCATCAGAGATGCTCACTTCCCCTACTCTCAAACAAAGAGTGGTCCATTTCTGCACAGCTGAGCTAGAAAATCCTGCAGAATCTATCTCCCACAGGACACACTATGATGACCTGGCTTGGCTAGAAGGCCAGGAGCAGAGAGAGAGGGTAGAAAGCTCAAAAAAACCTGTCAACTGCTTTGCCACCAAGCATCACTGCACTAGGGTTTTAAGGTCCTAACTGCATGGCCTGGATTGTAACTGGTGCTTCTACATATTGATGGTGTAGAGTAACTGGTGCTCACATCCAGCCCAGTCTGCACCATCCATGGCCAGAGGCCAAGGAGATGCTGAGGTCAGTATGTGAGGCAAAACACATGGCCCTCTCCCACAAAAAAAATCCAGGAACATGTGACATGAGTTCCCTTTACTCTCATCATCACTTCAACACCTGTGGCCTGGTCTTGCTCTTGCAGAGGGCTTCTCTGCTTCAAGAGACAGCTGCCCTCCTGGGGATGGCAAGCATCCAGCAGACAGGCAGGGCTGAGGCTGCACTCAGAAGCCACAGCCTCAGCGGTCTAGATGATCTGGAGACCTCCTGTACCGATTTTCAGGTGGTGACCCTCTTCCTGTTCAAATGTGTCATGACTGGGTGTCTTCCTCAACCAACATGTCAGAAGCAAAGTGCCCCTGTGGCTTTTCCCCTCCAAACAGGTCTCTGAACTCATCCTTGCTCAACTTGCCACGACCCGCATTGGTTGGGAGCAATCCCAAGAGATGCCTGAGCACATCTAGATAGAGGACTCCAGCCCATATAACCACCAGGGGTACAGAAATTATTTCCAGTCACTTCACTTGGAAAGGAAAAAAAGTCCTTTTCAATCAAAGTGCAGAAAAAAACCCATCCCATCTTCAATACAAGTAACCTCATGGGAGGGAGGGATCAGCCCTGAAACATCCTTCATTTGCTTGAGACAAGTTACGAGTCTCTGAGGGGGTTCCGCAGCACATAAATGCACGTTCATGAGAAACAACGTGCAGGATGATCACCCCATCAGGGTGATGACAGGCAATGCTGGCTCTGTCTCCTGATTACACAGGGTGGTGGCTTGGAGCCTCCTTCCCCTCCCCCTGCCTCCCTGACACAGCTGAGTGAAGGCAATGCAGAGAACACCTCTGGGATGTGCTGCAGCTCTGGAGTGGAGCTCGCAGCAAAGTCAAGCTGAAGCCAGCGCTACCAGGAACAGGGAAGACTGAAAAGCAGGGTTCTCCACACCAGCAGAGCAGGCTATGTGATGGAGAGATGCTACCCCCCTGGAATGCCATCGAGAGCCCCGGGTCCCTCAGCCTGATGAAATCATGTCTCCAAGGGGTTGATGGCTAAGACGCACTGAAAACGTCTGATGGCAGGAAGAAGGGGAGATACTAAAAGCTGTCTAATTCACCCCCTGGTTGACATACTCATTGTAATGGACCATTACATCTTTGTTGGTGACGTGGATGTTGGGACAGAGTGCACCCTCAGCAAGTTTGCTAATGCAGCCAAGCTGTGTGGTGTGGTTGACACATTGGAGGGGAGGGACGCCATCCAGAGGGACCTGAACAGGCTGGAGAGGGGGGCCTGTGCAAACCTCATTAAGTTCAACAAGGCCAAGGGCAAGGTCCTGCACATGGGCTGGGACAATCCCATGCACAAATACAGGCTGGGTGGAGAATAGATTGAGAACAGCCCTGAGGAGAAGGCCTTGAAGGTGGTGGTTGATGAGAAGCTCAACATGAACTGGCAATGTATGCTCACAGCCCAGAAAGCCAACCACATCCTGGGCTGCATCGAAAGAAGTGCGGCCAGCAGGTCAAGGGAGGTGATTCTGCCCCTCTACACTGCTCTTGTGAGACCCCACCTGGAGTACTGCATCCACCTCTGGAGCCCCCAGCATAAGAAGGACATGGACCTGTTGGAGCGAGTCCAGAGCAGGGCAATGAAGATGATCTGAGGGATGGAGCATCTCCCGTATGAAAACAGGCTGAGAGAGTTGGCATTGTTCAGCCTGGAGAGGAGAAGGCTCTGGGGAGACCTTATTATACCCTTCCAGTATCTGAAGGGTATCTACAAGAAAGCTAGAGAGGGACTTTTTACAAGGGCATGTAGTGATAGGACGAGGGGTAATGGCTTCAAACTGGAAGAGGGTAGATTTAGATTAAGTATTAAGAAAAAAAATTCATAATGAGTGTGGTGAGGCACTGGAACTGGTTGCCCAGGGAACCTGTGGAGGCCCCATCCCTGGAGGTGTTCAAGGCTAGGTTGGATGGGGCTTTGAGCAACCTGGTCTAGTGTGAGGTGTCCCTGCCCATGGCAGGGAGGTTGGAACTAGATGATCTTTACAGTCCCTTCCAACCATTATATAATTACATGTTGAGACTCACTTCCACATGAGGTAGCTGAGACCACAAAGTTAATGGAATTAAAAGAAACAGGTCCAACGTGCATACAAGCTCTAATATACCCACAGTAAAAGAAATAGCTATAGATACAAAGACATGCACATTTGCTGTTTGTGCCCAGTTTTTTTTTCA